ATGCGGGGTTTTTACGAATACAGATGCGTTTTGTCGTCAGAAGAAAGAGAGCAAGAGAAATAAGGAATAAGAAAGCGAGACAAAAGACTTGTAATGATAATGATACATATGATAATGATATGCGAGAATTGAAAGACATCACTTGGATTGAGACGGAGGTACTAGCCCCTGGATAACGCATCATGTAACGCTCAGCGTCCAGTCGTAAAAAGAACATCATTCAGTTATAATGGAGGGAAGGGATAAGGAGGAGACTCTTCTTCATTCAAAAAGTCGTCGCAGCTCCACCCAAACCCAACTCGACACCTCTCATAACTCGGCTCACATGTCTAGGTTTGAACTGTTTAACGTTCTTCACCTGGACATGTTCGATAGCACGAGCGTACTCTTGCTCGACCTCTGCGTCGACGGTGAGGTTGGAAGAGTTGGTGGCGGTGGTGAGAGAGGAAGAAGAGGCACGGGAGCGCTTCATCTTGTTGGGAGTGGATCGGCGCTTCCTGCATGCTTGGCCTGATGAGGAAGAGGCAGATGCCGAGCTGGAACTAGAGGAAGCGGTGGAAGAAGCAGAGGGTGCAGCGGCAGCGACAGGGGAGGAAGCGGGGGTTTCAGTGTCAGCAGGAGCTGAAGCTGAAGCTGAAGAAGAGGGTGCTGAAGCGGAAGCGGAGGTGGAGGAAGAAGAGTTGTCGGAGGAGGAAGAAGACCCGGAAGAGGCAGAACCAGAAGAAGCACCAGAAGAACCATTGTTGGAACCTGACGAGGATGAGGACGAACCACTAGAGCCAGAGTTGTCGTCAGAAGAACCGCCCACGGCGAGTTTGACGACGGCAGGGCCGGGGAACTGATATTTGCTGGCAACAAAGTTGGTGTAGACCTGTGTACAACATCATGACAATTTAGAAACCAGTGTTGTTCCAAATACGGAAAGAAAAAAGCAGAATTAGACAAAAATTTAGACGCACATCAAGTTCAATACCAGCATCGTCATCATGATAAGCGCCAGGG